CTGTTATCGCTCCTTCCAGTATTAATGATGGGTGGGGGATTCTTCCTAACCTTTCATTTGAAATATTGTGTAACATCAACATCTTGATTGTCATTCTCTCTTTGAGTTACATGTTATATCCATTTTGATTATTGCTGCTGTTGAAAGTTCTCAGGTGATGTGGTTTCTGTTATTTGGGTACAGTTCTTTGAAATTCTGTAGCACTAGTCTACAAGCATCCAAGAATCATGATCTTCACTAAGACCCACATGCTTCACATGCTCAAAGCCTTTTGTAACCATTGATCTGAAAAGGGGGTTTGAAACAGCAGACAGTTTAGATATTTCTAGGGGGGAAAGCAAGAATGCTCTTTTCTATTTGTAGATATGTTTGGAATATTGTATGGAATACTTAAATGAACAGTATCCATCTCTTCACATTTGTGCTTGTATCTATGCAGAGAATTAGTCTAGGAAGAAGTTACATCAGGTTTCTCATTCCTTTGTACTTCTGATGATGTTTGTAATGTTTTGTTATTTGGGGTCCTTGCTAGACATGTACAATTTTGAGAACAAATATTCTTCCTCTATCAGATCTAGACATTTAGTGGAGTTTATAAAATATTTTCTACTGGATGAGAAGAGAAAATCTCTATTAATGTGGTCATATGCTGCTGTGCGATTAACAATAGCAGGTATACAATTTTCTATTAGAGTAGTATGCGATTTCCTGGAATAGTTTGATAACATGCCATCATTACACCCCTTACCAGAACAAAAACCAAATTGGGTTGTGAACACTAAGAGCCTAGTTGATACAATGTTCATTTGTACTGTTGACATAATAGGTCCAATTGAGATACCTTTATATGTGTAAGAGATTTGAAGATTACATCTTCCCTAGTGCAGTGTTTCTCAACCTATTTAAGCAATGGCACACCTCGATCCAAATGAAAATATGGCATGCTTAGCAAAATTTTTAAAGGGTATACATTTAAATGTTATGAAATAAAACTCTGTATTTAAAAAAAAAAAATACACACAAATATGAACTTAATTTATTTCAATGTTTCTATTCAACTATTTTTGCAACTTATTTAATGTGAAACCTATGCCTGGTGTTCTTTTTTTTTTTTCCGCAATTTCTTCACTGTTTGGTCGCATGTGCCATAAGTAAACCCTCATTTCTTCAGTTGAATGTAGTCTTTCTCGTTTATTTTTGGTGTTATTTATCCACTTAATATAACCGCCTTTGTTATTTCATAGCGTCAATTGTAAAGGAACAACAACTCTCGGTTCAGTATGCAAGGGCGATAACTCCAAGTTAAAGGAAAGTTTAACTTTCTTTTTAAGTACTAAATTAAATTATAAAGCCCAAAATAACAAACAGCAAATGTATAAAAGAGACGATGGGTTACCTATCCCCTAAGGACCACATGTGCAACACCCCTAGTCTAAATGGAAGTCAAATATTGAGATATTAAAGTTTTATGTATTACATATGAATTAGAGAAATAATAGTGTGACTGGATTTGAGCATTGCCAAAAGTGTTTATGTGCAATATTTAAACCAAATTAAAATAGAACTTTAATGGCAGGAGGGAAAGAGTGAAAAAGTTTACCTAATTATATATATATATATATATATATATATATATATATATATATATATATATATATATATATATATATATATATAGGTACCTCCACTAATTTATGATACCCAAGGTTTAAAATGAATTTTTAACGATGAAAAAGCTTTAATTGAAAGCTAAAGAATTAAATTTACTATTTATAGTAAATAAAATACTTTGGTGTATTTTAAACAGAAATTATACTGATTGGAATCAATTTATTTATTATATTTTATTTGCTAAAATAACTGATTAGTACCCTTTTTTCATTGTCTTTTATTGCAATGTAATTCTCTTGATTAAAAAAATCTTTCAAAAATAAAATATACTTTCTGAAGCTTTGAGAAATATTCACTGATTTAAAGTATAATCTGATTTGTAATAAAAACAAGTTTAAAATAACACAAAAAATGCATTTTTAAACCAAATAGTAGCCGAGTTTTTAATTGACAGCAGTTATGTTAATGTGTTTGACTGTGATGACTGTTCTTTTATAAAATTTTTTACGTACTTAATGTTAAAAAATATTCTCTGTAATCTAATTTTAGGAATGTTGAACCTAAATTTTCTATAGTTATCACTCTTATATTCTCATAATGCATATACGGTTGCTCATACTAAGAAAAATAAGAATGTTTATAAACTAAAAAAAATTATTTTAAAAAACTTGGTCTATAACAGTTTGTATTAAGATTTTCAATTTTTGATTTTACTTAATAATATCATTTAATGCAATTAAAGTAATGCAGAATTTTAAGATTTGAAACTAAATTATTCAAATTAAAAAAGAAAATGAAAATGTCTTTTAAAAATCCATTATTTCTCCAAAAAAATTTTTCTTAAAACAGTATGTCCTTAAATCTTATTTATAGAGGAATTTTAAAAACTTTTCTAATTAAAAAAAAATGTCAGTTTTATTGCATTTTTATTTTATGATTTGGAGCAGATTTTTGATAAATGAGTAACTGTTTGAAAAAAAAAAAAAAATGATTCTCTAAGGAGTCCTGCTTATAACTAAAACAAATTTTGCAATTAAAATTTAATTTCTTGAAATTAGATAAGTGGTGGGTGGTAACATTTTAAAAAAAAAAAAAAAAAATTCAAAAATAATTTAATTCCTTTGTGAATAAGTCCTGAAAGTTTCATTAAAATCTGACAATTTGATATTTGCAAGAATTTCCAAATCAATGTGCTTTGTACCAGAAAAAAAGCACTAAAACAGTAATCTTTGGCTGACCGTTGATGCCAAAAAAAAAGATTTTCAACCAAAATTTAATAAAATAAAATACTTTTTTTTTTCCCTCTTAATAACATTTTATCAAGTGTGCAGTCTTTTTTCATCATGCTATGCTGGTTTTTTTTTTTTTTTTTTTTTTCAGTGAATTAGTGGTGGTACCTACATATATGCAAGTCTCTTGCACCATGTATTAATAAACTATATACAGCCAACTTTAAAACAACACAATTATTTAAAATATATCCACAGGAGGATTTTAAAAAAAAAAAAAAAAAAAAGTCTTAAATTTTAACATTTTAAGTGAATTCTTGCTGCCTAAACACACATAATAATACTTTAGTGGATACATGTTTGAGTAAATGTTCCTTTTCTTTTTCTTTTTTTTTTTTTTTAAATTGGCTTAAATATTGAACCTGTTATTAAAATAAAAATATCACTCTTGGCATCTTTATTCTCTTATTCTGGGGAAACTACCTTTTTGCCAAGCCACTTGGGTTTTTACAGCAAAGGTTGTTTGGGTAAAATCTATTAATTGCTTAAATTACTTTTACTTTTTGGTTACAAAAGATCTAATTAGATCTAGACCCAGCTAACATAGAATGTTCTTGTAATGTTAGCCATCAACAAAGATGTGTGTCATGGTGACATTAATCTTGCAATCACCTATTTTCCTGACTGCTCAGCCCCAACTTTATGGTGACATTGCAAAGTACTGTAGCTGAAAAGTTTCATAGTGGTCAATTTTAACACTAGAACACTTAGTCACTTAATAATTTACATAGAAGGTGTAAAAATGATGAATGCATGTTCTAATATCCTCCTGGAATTTATTATTTTCTGTTAATGTGACATTATAAATCATTGTATATGCAGTGTTATAAAAGTTTTTTTTTTGCAACTTCTATGTAGTGTTGTAAAAACATTGTAGCAATGTCATTTTGTTAGCTGAAGACATTCTAAACTCCTAACAAAATAAGTATTTTTCTTTAAAATGAGTAATGAAGCCATGTGTTGTCGAGTGGTAAAGAACATCTGGAAAAAAAAAAGATGGTTTAACAAGATAATAAAATATCTGCTGAGAGGTACATTTTCTTTAATAAGACTCATGTCTAGGCTGGTGGACATTAAAATTCATTGTTAACAAAAAATTGAGATGATCAATTGGGTATGTATATTCACTAAAATAACGTTTATATTAACAAAGTGTGATTTTGAGTTTTGAATGTTTGTGCTGTTATGTGAGCATGATATTTTTGGTGTTTAGAAACTGGTGTCACATGTCTTGGGCATTCTAAGTCAGATTCCACACTATCACAAAATCAGAAGTGATTTTGTTGGTTGTTTTGATTTAGGTTACAAATTTTAGATCTAAACTTTATTTAGAACTTGTTTCGCTGACAAGGAACTGTGTTATTGTAATTTTTCTTTCAGTAGGTGCACGTAAGATGCATACGAAATTTAAAGAAGCTTGTTTATGTTATACTGATTACATATATTTCTCTTTTTTATATTTTGTAGTCTTTCTCTAGTCAGACTGTTAAATTTAGTTTATCAATGGCTGTAAGTTGTGGAGGTGCTGTAAGCTTTGATGTGCGAATTGATAACAAATTGGAAATCTGATAGTCGAATTCCAATTCCAGTTGCAGTCATTATATTCACTTACACCGAAATACCCTTTGAAATGTATGAATCAACCTCTTCTCTCCCTAACTGTGTGTTAATTAGTAGGACTTGTATAAGTAAAATCATTATCTAAAACAAATACAAACTAAAAATAGTTTCTGGCTTTAAATATCCTGCAAAAGGTTGATAAAAATCAATCAGTGCTGCCATTTTGCTTACTGATTTTTATGAGAAAAAATAAGTGAAGATAGGTCTAATCAATAGAAGAAACTTTATGATTCTTAATACATAATAAAATAAATATGTCCCCTTAAATACATTGTTTTAAAGAGGACTATAATTTTTATTAAAAAAAAAAAAAAAAAAAAAATTCATTGCATCTATGTGCAATATTTCCAAATCTCACAAGACTTAAAAACAAGTCTCACCAATAATGTGATCAGAATAAATTCACTAAGTTTAGAAGTTTTCATGCAAATTTATCAGGAATCCTTTACAGTTATATAAAGAAATATTCATTTCTGGTAGAAAATTGTTTGTTTCTCTCTCTCTCTCTCTGTCTCTGTCTCTCTCTCTCTCTGTCTCTCTCTCTCTCTCTCTCTCTCTCCTTAAAACTATATGTAAATTTCTTTGATCGTACATTATGAAGCCGTTACATGATTGAAGTTTTAAAATAAACATACTGTATCTATTGTATATTTCTGGGAAAAATTCTTGATTGAATGTCTTATAGGAAATTTTTTTTTTTTTTTTCAACATGAACAAAAACTTATTCAAGCCATATTGCTTGGTATATTATTCTAATTTAGCTTTCCATGTGAAAGGGAAGTCTCATGTTGTTTCTGGCTTTTTCCACTGAACTAATGACATTGTACAGAACTGTAGCTGTTGATATTTGCACCTGTTATTGATATCTGCATTTTGTCCAGCTCACAAAGAAATCGTCTAGTTTGTTGCATGCTCGTGGATTTGTGGTATGATATAAAGGTTCTTTGATCTCTATTTACTGAAATGGAACATCTTTGATTTCTGTGCACTATCAGTGATGAAACCAACTCCTGATTAGCATTCTACAATTTCTTGTTTATTATAAGATAAGTAGTTGGTTAAGAAAACCATTCCTGTTATGCTGATAGGATATTGCTGTACGGTTGTCTGTGTGTTCATTTATTCAGTCTATAGATTTTCATGGCAATCAGTGAAACTTCTCATTGTGTATATGTTCCTTAAATAGGTAATTTACTATTAACCTGTCATTGATGTTTGACTAATTTCTAGCAATTAATCTCGTGTCCAAGATCGTTTGCCTGGATCTCATTTCTATATTTCAATGTAGAATTAGCTGAATCACATTAAATGAAGACATTAGATTGACCGATTTACATTTTATCTAAAAAACCATATATCATGTCAATTCCAGGCTAGAGAGTGATTGGTTGAATTTTAGTCATACTGGATTTACTCTATTTGGCTAAATTAAACATATGTTCAATCTTTATAGCTGATATTTAGGTGCAGGATCTTGCATATATGCAAATAAATCTCTTCATGTTCCAGAAAAGATTGATTGAACTTTTGTTGAGCAAACATGGTGGCCACACCATCATAAGTCTCCAGAATTCTTCTCAAATCATTTCTGAGCCAGTTGGGTCTGATAACATGATACATTATCCTGCCATTATTGAGGCACACACACATATATACACACACACATCCTATAATATAAACATAATATGACGTTATATATTTATAGGTCATAATAGAGATCTACCCTACTTGGGATAATGAATTATGCTGTTGCAGTAATACAGAGGGAGGCGTAATGGATAGCGGCTCGCATTGAGGAATCGGAGAGCTGAGTTTGAATTCCAGTTGAATCCATTACATTCACTTAGGTGCTAATACCCTCGGGGAAAGGTATGAATCCTCTTCTTTTTCCCCAGCTATGAGTAAGTAGCAAGACAGACCAAGTTCTATAGCCTTGAATGGCAACTGGGCTACCACAGAAAGACATGGCAACCTATTGCGGGGAAAATCTGCCTCGTCAATCATGTATCAAAAGATACATGATCGCCTAAGTGTGTAACATGCATGGTACATAATTGACGGGGTAATATAGATGTTACCTCTATTTGGATATTTTTATTTTTAAATAATTATGAAAACATGTTCAAGTTATCATTTTATTTGAAGTGAATATTTATTCATTATTTAAAATATGAAATTAATCTCTAGTAAATATGAATAAGTAAATGAAAATGTCTTTCTTCTTTTCTTTTTTTTTTTTTTTTTTTTAAAAAAACTTATTCCGTAGCAATTCAAATATATCCTTGATTTTTTTTTAAATTTTTTATTTCATGTATTACTTTTTTTTTTTAACCTCCTATTCAATTTCAATAGGTTAAACTTCATTGCTTAATCTCTCCTGCACTCTCTTCATCTTTCACTTTCTTCTTTTCTTTTATCTCTCCCTTATAACTGTCTATACTTCAGTATTCTCTCATTCTTTTTCATTTACTTGAGTGATTCGTAAGGATTTTAGCTGTCTGATACTCCTGCGTTCTCAATACTGTTGATGCCACCATCTCGTCAAGTCATCTGCTACAACATGAAATAAAACTCCATTCAATGGTGGCTAGATTATTGTCTGTTTAATGTTCAGGAACTATGAAGAAAAGTTCACAGTTCGACCCACTTCCCAAAAACCTGACTAAAAGACCGGACATTTTTTTTTTTAAGGGCTTCTTCATTGGGTCTTAGATCTTTTCAATGCCTCCTCCATGAGAGAGGAAATACAGAGCAGCTTAAAGATTTCTCATTTTTCACTTAGCTATTTATTTACTAGCATAGTATCTCTAAAAATGATTGGATAAATTATACAATATAAAATTAAAAAGCAATGTTTATCCATCTATTAAAAAAAAAAAAAAATTTTTAATGTCATATTCTGCATAAAACTGCATCACATTATGTAAGAAAGAAAACTAATTCCTTTGTTATCATTCCTTGTCTGAATTTCTCTCTTACATTAAAAAGTTTTAAACTTCTTTGCTATACTGTATATGAAGTAATTGCTAATCGTGTTGTGTTTTTGTATTACCCGTTGTGTTGAAAATAAAGTCAGTGATGGACAGAACTAAGTTTCTAACTAAAGATGCAAGCATTGGATCAATTGAAAAACCATGTCAATGTGTCCAAAGTAGCACACAAATGTTGGGGAGGAAATTTAATTTTTCTCCATGCAATAAAATAAATTTGCAGAGGTATTTGTTTCGTTTGTAATTATCATAAACCCAACAAACCATTATTGTAAAGTGTTTTTAAAGAGTGAGAAAACATTAAATTAGGTTCCTCCAATGAGCATAGATGACAAATGCCCCAAACTTTATAAAAACAAAGTTATTGTCAAAATGTTTATTATTAAGAGGAAAGACCAAATGATTTTTTTTGATTATTAAATTATATATATATATATATATATATATATATATATATCTATATATATATATATATATATTTTTAGAATGTTCGAAATTTTGGTTGAAAATATATTTTTTTTTTTTTTTTTTTTTTTTTTTTTCAGTGATTTTTGCAAAAATCAAATAATTGTTGGATTTTAATGAAATTGTCAGGACTTATTCACAAGTGAATGAAATTATTTTAGAAATGTTTATTTTTTAGAAAACATCTGTAAATACCTTCTTTTTTTTATCTGTTACCTCCACTTATTTAGTTTTATAAAATTTTGAGAAATTCATTTTTGTATGGCTTAATGTTAAACACTGAACTACTTGAAGAATTTAAATCAATTTTTGTTTTGTAAAACAGGAGCCCTAGTTACCAAAAATATATCATAAAATAAAAAATCAAATATAACTAAGACATTATTTAATTAGAAAAGCTTTTAATTGCTTTTATGAATAAGATATATCATGGACATTACCATAATACCTTATTTATAAAAGCAATTAAAAGCTTTTCTAATTAAATGTCTTAGTTTTATTGCATTTTTTTGTCTTAAGAAAACTTCTTTATTTTTTTTTTTTTTTTTTTTTTTTTTTTTTAACAAATGAATTTTTACAAGAATTGTTTTAATTTTAAAATTAGAATAATTTATAAAGTTTTAAATTTTAAAAAATTCTGTATTTGTATGGGTTAAATGATGTTATTAAGTAAAAACTATATTTACTAATCAATGGAAAAGTTTACTAAAATTCAGTGACCCTTAGTATTTTAAAAAGAATTTTGAGCTTGTGTGTGTGTGTGTGTGTGTGTGTGTGTGTAAACTTGCTGTTTTTGTAAATATGGACGTCCATAGATGATATCATCAGAAAATAAGAGTGGTAACTAGAGTAAATTTAAAGCCAAAATACTTTAAAAAATTCATTAAAACATTAGATTATGGAATTTTTTTCTAAATGTTTAAGTTTACTGCATAGTTAAAAATCATATAAAAAAGGCGCTCACATTATATTCTTGAAGTAATTTTTACAGATATGTCCCCTGTAGAAAATAATTAAATTTCCAGTTCTCAATGAAGCTGTCAACATGTTATATAAACACCTACCTCCATGTTAAGAAATGCATTTCTGCGATATTTTAAACTTAATTAATATTTGTTTCAAATAAAGTTTCAGGAAAGAATATTTTATTTTTGAAAGATTTTTTAATAACGAGTTACTTTGTGAAGAAAGACAACGAAAAATGGGTGCTAATCAGTTTTTTTTAGCTAAAAAAAACAGATCGACTAAGAAAAGAACTGTTAAAAGATCATGAACTAAAAGTTACAACTAATGCTGAAGAGATCAACTTTCTAAATGTGACCCTGAACTTGAATATCAGCAATTACAAACCGTATACAAAAGGTAATCAAATGTACATAAATAGCGAATCTAAGCATTTACACAAATCAGTACAATATAGATTATCAATTAACTCCAGGAATAAGGAAATATTTGATGAAAATAAAATTAAGTATACAAAAAAAAAAAAACGTCTTAGAAGAAAGCAAACACAAAGAATACTTGAAAAAAAAAAAAAAAAGGAGGTAAAAATAAAAAAAAAGACACCGCAATGTATTATGGTTTATGTCCCCCCCACCTCAAAATCGGAATGTAAAAAATAATGTTGATAGAATTTTTCTTAACAGATAAACAATTAAAAAGTCAGTAGCATTAAAGATTTTAACAAAATAATGTAAAGATCAGCTAAAGCTTCCCTAGAACTATTGAAAAATATCCCACAATAATAATATTTAGTAATTATCACACGCAAAAAGTGCAACAACAACGAAACGAGTTATAAATAATAAATCTAACTGCTGACGCAATACGATCTGTCCCTTAAACGGTCAATGTATGACTAAAAATATTGTATATCGAGGTAGCATACAATCTTTGGTTCTACTGAAACATTTTGGAAAATACTTTTTAATAATCAGCTAACTTTGAATAACGAAAAATAAAACAACACATCTCTCTCTATTGGCAATTAAAGGATGCTGGCAATACACCCATAATTACGTGAGATATAACTACAATAAGATCATACAATAGTAAAAGAGAAATGTGTAATCTAAGCCTTGTAGAAAAAAAAAAACTATTTAAATTTAAAAAAAAAAAAGCCCCGACTTATTAAATAAGAGAAATGAATTAATGGTCACATGTAGGCATAAAAACAAATACCTGTTGAAACACGTGGGACCAGATTGATTTCAACTGAAGACTATACCTTCCTTTTTTAATTAATTTTGTTACTTTATCTTATTTTAATTTTTTGTATTACTGTGTAATCACTAGCCCTAATTAGTTTATATTTACTTGTATATATGTATAGATTTTTTTTAAATATCTCATATCTAATAATTACAATAAACACTTATTAGTCACAATATTTATTTCATGTATTGTACCACCTACATTATATAAATAGGGTGTGTATGTTTGTGTGTGTGTGTGTGTGTGTGTGGCTTTGTTTGTCTTATGTGTGTATCTAAGTACGTGTGTGATGTTATGCTTTTGAGATGTACCTACAATTTATATATATTCTTTTGATATATGGTTTAGAGGAGTTATAACTGTGAGAAAATAATTATAAACCCTCTAACATATATATATATATATATATATATATATATATATATATATATAAAAATGAGAAACAACAAAACGCGTATTATTTAATATCTGGTTGTTATGTGATGTTGGAGAAACGAGAGGCAGCAATACTGAGTAAAATTGTGGGTTTGGGGTGAAATGTAGATCAAATATGGATCGGAATCCAACAGAATAAGATAAAGAATAATTAAAACGTACGGTCTCTTATGTTTTTTTTTTTTTTTTTTTTTATATAGATGTGTGTAATCTGTCCAGATAACTTAGAAAATACAAGAAGTGTCTGGAGTTTTCTTAACTCAAATTTTTGTTGAGTGCTAAAAGGTAAATGTTATTATTTTGGTCTGAAAAAGGAGATTAAACTTTCGTTGATGCACGTATTAACGACCTATCCGTATGAACTGCTTGTCAAATAGAATTTATTTCTAATGATATGTAAAAATAATCTTTTTATATCTAATGTATGTTTTGTAATGTGGCAAATGTACTTGTCTTTCAAACGTCGTTGTATATAATATTCTTCTTTGTTGTGGTTTTTGATGGAGTGTCATCTGCTTTACTGGATGTTTATTCATCCGTATTTTTGTAGGTTTTAAGTGTAAATGATCACTCTTTTCAGTTTGTTCTAAGAATTGCTTATCAAATTGCAAGTTAAATCCTATCGATAATATTATCTTTTTTCGACGGTGAAGTACTTGATGACCTTGGTAGACATCAAGTACTTCACTATGTAGTTTGGGCACAAAGTTTTTTTTTAAACCGTCATTTCTTATAAATATATATTTGCAGGTTTAAAGGTTACATGGTAGGTATATTTTTTATTGATTTTCTGTGTAGGTCTAAATGGTAATGCTGGCATTCTATATTTTAAATCCTGTACAATTATTGATGTGGGTAAACTGAGTTGTCTTCATAATATTGACCAGGTATGGCTAATGATGTACCAAAAACCATATCCCACAGTCAACGTTGCTTTTACTTGCCTGTGGAAACGTTCCACCTTCCCATTTGCACGAGGGTGATAGGCTTTATCTTTTATGTGCTTAGTTACAAAGTTGATGATTGACCTCTTTAAATGAGGTAGACTGAAACTGAGTTCATCTAATATGAACATTAAAAGTACTTCAGAAAAACTGATATCCAATCAATAAGGATCGTTCTGGCAATTGTTGTAAACTAAAATATCCATAGTAGCTATTGCGGCAGGTCAGCGGGTAAACCCATCTATGATAGGATATATGTGTGAATATAGAGAACAAGGTAAAAGTCCAACAATGTCGATATATATATATATTAGTTAATCTTTTACTAAGTGTGCTGAATGTGCCGGCAGGTGATTTTGTGTGCTTGTGTATCTTGTTTTTC